GGAGGGAGGAGGGGTGAGAAACAAGAGAGGGGGAGGGGTGATGTAGAGGGATTGAGAACAGAGATGGAAAGGGGATGAAGTGGTGGCTGACAAAAAGTTTTATGTCGATTCAAGACCAATAGAAAAATAGAGGGGTTGAAATTAAATCAGACTCTTTTTGTTGATATTCTGTCTTGTCAAACATGCGATTTCTAATCATAAATTTATAAAGTCGTGATATTGTATTCTTTGTCACCATCACAAGAAAGCAGTATTCACAAAAGAAATATTCACACACACTATTCTATTTCAACCAAAAGAAGATGGAGCATAATTTAAACCAACAAAAAAAGGGTTGTACAATATCTTACCTCCAAAGTGACAAATACTAACATATAATATTTAGATTACAAAATACTTATTTTAGTGCCTCAATTGAATTTTCCTAGTGTTATGCCAAGGCTTAATTGGCAATAAATTAAACAGTTGCATTAAAATTAACGAAAAGGGATCCAGCCGTAGGAATTTAATTACTTTAATTGTCTTCTTTGAATAGTATGTATAAAATAGCCCCACTCCACCACGTACTAGATTATATAAGAAAGTCCGTAGGGAGCTTTTAGCTGAGCAGAAACCAACAGATGGAGCGTCTTTCACACATTTAGGTTTGGCATCCTAAAGTCAGTAGATTTTGCAGCCTGCATGTTGCAACCTGCTCAAATTTTGTTCTTCATTAGCACAATCAACAGAACTATATTTCATCCAACCTTGCTGAGAAAAAAAAGGGTAAAATACAATTTACTCTCCTATGATTTAGCGATTTTTCACATAACCTCCTATAGTTCCAAAAATCATATATAACCCCTCACATAGTTTGAATTAAAGTGTCAAAGTGATGAAAATAATCCTCTGTAATGGAATCCATGAAATTTGAAATTATTCTTATTTAAAAATTAAAATAGTTGAAGTGATCAAAATATATAAACATATAGTATGTACGACATTTTAATCCTGTATGGTTTTCTAACTTTATATAGGCGCACTTTTGACATTTTAGTTGATTCCGTTATGAAATATAGATTTCGCTATTTTGACACTTTAATCCAAATTATGAGAGGGTAATATATAGTTTTTGAAATTATAGGGAGATTATGTGAAAAAATGTTAAACAATAGGGGGAAAAAGTATATTTTATCCAAAAAATAATAATAATCTTGTCATGCATTTGAAATCCCAACTAATTTTGTCCCACCCCAAATGAGTCCAGATGAACACAAATCAATGCACGATGTTCTTTCTAAATCATTTTACATAAAAACTTTTATAAAAATTTAAGCTTGGATACATTGCCAATTTTTACACAGAAACATGTATGTGTGTGCGTGCATGGGTTGAGAATATATGAAAGTGATTTTGTAATCTTTTAGTAAAGGTAGAATTAATACTTAAGGTGATTCATAACGCTTCAAGAAGTTCACTTTTTTCTCAAAGTTAAGACTTATGAGCTTACGTACGAATCACATAAAGTCAATTTTCAAGGGAGTAAATTCGGTCCTGCCTGGATCTAAAGCCGGCGAGCTTGAGATATCGGCTATGAATGATAGGCCTCGTGCCCACTGATCAATTTCTGGCCCCCTGTTCTATAACGAAAATCTGCGTTTCTACCTGACTAATTTGAAAATTATAACACTTCTAGACATGGCAATATCAATGGCAGCATTTTCGAATAAAGGGATTGCTGAGACCATTCTCTGTTTCTATGTCTTTGTGTTTTGTTTCCTTCCCACAGTATTTTGTGCTGGATATTTGCAAAAGCTTTATTCACCAGTTCCTGGTCCCGGGTGCTTTGCGTTCGATTTGTTAGGAGTAGGACCTTACACAGGCGTTGCCCGATGGAAGAATTCTCAAAAGCAGATGGGCAAGGATTCTTTTTCCTTGTACATGGCAATATGGCATATTTATCAAATTAGTCACCAGGGATATACTCTGAATTAATTTGCAGCTGTCCATTCAAGTAGTGCAACTATAGCTTTCAGTTTTAGAAGCCATCATATCGCCAATGGGTAAAGATTCTCTACAATCTCAAAAGTGATTATATAGTATAGTTAATGGTAATAAATAGGGTGGTCTGAAATTCTCCCTATCCTTGCCTTGCCAACTTCTTAAATCTCACGACTCCACTTCTAGAAAAAAAAAAAAAAAAAAAAAGAAGTTAGATAGAGGAGATTAAATGAAACACACAAATTCTAATGTGTGACAAAAATTTATTTTATTTTTGCGTGTGAATATTTCAGTGTCTACATTTGATATATATATATATGATAGTGTTCGAATGTGTTTTGTTGGTATCTACATTATATCATGCGGTTGAAACTGGTAATTGATCCATTGCGAACACTTGAGTGGTCGAGTTTTTTGCAAAACTTGATGAATTGACTAGAGACTCACCAGAAAATTATACAATTTGTGCTTAGATTCTACAATCCTTAAGCTTTCTAAGTTCCAATTTGGTCCCGGAAATTTTGTGATGGCACTAATAGCACGGCTGACCCAAAAATCTGTGGGAGGCCATTAGGCTTGGGGTTTTACTACAAGACTGGTGAGCTCTACACAACAGATGCTGGTTTAGGCCTTGCTGTGATTGGATCTGGAGGAGTTCGTGGAAAACAACTTGCCTCCTGTGCAGAGGGAGTGCCATTTTGGCTTCCCTGATGGCCTTGAAGTAGATCAAGAAACTGGTATTGTCTACTTTACCTACCGATGCAAGTTCTCGCTACCATATCAGGTATCAGGTTGCTAAGGTGATTGATTAATTTTGCTAGTTATGATTTCTTTTAAATTGATACTCCCTCTGTCCTATTTTGATAGTCCCGTTTTCCTTTTTTGTCTGTTCCAAATTGTAGTCCACTTTTTAATTGAAAATTATCTTTTAATTTCTCTAAAATACCCTTATTCAATGTAGGTTGTTATTAGTATAAACTATCCTATTTAGTGTAGATTGTTTCTTGACAATCAATTCAAGTTTTCATGAATTATTAAGGGAAAATCGTTCAAAACGTCCCTAACATTTTACAAGATGACTTTTTTCGTCCCTCACTTTTAAAAGTGTAATTTTACGTTCTTTACAAATTCACATTGACCAAATTTGGTCCCTACCTAGGTTTCCGACTAGTTTTTATCGGAATCCACCACGTGACTTGTATGTGATCATTTTTTAAGGGTAAAATTGTCAAATCAAATTTTTACATAATCTGATTCATAGTCCCTCACATTTCACAAAATGAATTTTTTCGTCCCTAACATTTTACAAAATGAGTTGCTTTGTTTCTCACATTTCAAAAAATGAATTTTTTCATCCCTTATATTTTTTAAAATGAATTTTTCCATCCCTTATATTTTTTAAAATGAATTTTTTCATCCCTCATTGATCATGTATACAAATACTTTTTTTTTTCTATAAATCCACGTATATATTTATTTGATTTTATCTGAACAGTATGAATAACATGTAATTTATCTCTATTGAATTTCATCTAACTATGCTAATCGTAGTTATACACATGCTATTCAATAGATATATATAGGGATTTTAAACTAACAATTTTGTTTGAAACCCATGTATATAATTTCACCATTTGAACCTATTCAATATTTGTGACATTTCTCTTTTGGTAATAATTTATTTGTTGAGTTGTATAATAAGGTCATCTAATTAATGGGTCAAAACTCGAATTCTATAATTATGCTAACAAATTTCAGTTTAAATCTAAAATTTCTACTCGACATTTTTAAGACCAACAGTTGAATTACTTACCTTGTGATTGTGTTAAAATTTGAAAGTGCCAATCACTTATTTCTTTTTGTCATACTTTTCTTTTGTTTACTTTTTCTATCCAAATTTAATTCGATATAAACACTCGATAATATTTAGGATTAAATGTCTTCTTTATTTTCAAATTTCGAGTGAAAGAAAATGAATATAAGTGAAAAACTAACAATTTTTTTAAATCCATGTATATATCTATTTGATTTCACTTGAGCAATATGAATAGTATGTAATATATCTCTATTTGATTTTATATGCTATTCGTACTGTTCAGGTGAAATCAAATAAATATATACATGGATTTAAAAAAATTATTCACACACATGATCAATAAAAGATGAAAAAATTCATTTTGAAAAATGTGAATGACGAAAAATTTTATTTTATGAAATGTGAGGGATTATGAATCGAATTATATAAAATTTGATTTGACAAATTTGCCCTTAAAATATGATCACGTACAAGGCATGTGGTGAATTCCGATAAAAAACTAGTCGGAAACCTAAGTAGAGATCAAATTTGACCAATGTGAATTTGTAAGGGACGTAAAATTACATTTTTAAAAGCGAGGAACGAAAAAAGTTATTTTGCAAAATGTGAGGGACGTTTTGAACGATTTTCTCAATAATTAATATAAAGTTGTACTCTATTTAATGTAAATGTATTTTAGAAAAATAGCAACCTAAATTTTTTTTCCAACAAAGTTAACTACTTTTTCTTAAATTGTGGAAAGAAAATTAGGACTATCAAAATGGGACAGAGGGAGTATTTTTTATCAACTCAGATTGAATTTTTAATTTCTAAATGTGATAGCATAACATTGTCCATTTGCAGTCAAATTTTAGTGCTAATTTCCGCACAAAAGGTCGGCTATTTTTTGACAAAAGATTATGTGTTTCCATTCTGTTGTCAATGTAAGAGTTATATTTATGGGTTATTTGTAAAAATCCCTATAAGCAATTTATGATCCCGAGAGGATATTTTGATCCATACTGATGATTGAAACCGAACCACCCAAATGTTCTTACATGCCTATGAAAACGAAGCTACGCAAGCTATGAACTATGGACAATAAGTCAATCAGCTAGCTAAAGTCAATTTTCAAGACATAATTTTATCGAAACCCAAACACGGCCGCTTCAAATGTCAACTATAGATCTCGTTGCGCTGCGCCAATTTCTGGCCTTTCGTCCCAAAGGAATTCTACAATACAGCGCTACACTTTCTAACTTTATACCTATAAATACCCTCGTTTATTCGACAGTGCTTCATCATCTAGAAATGGCAACTCTTACAACAGCATTTCCTAATAAACGAATTGTTGAGACTATTCTCTGCTTTTATGTCTTAGTTTTCTGTTTCCTTCCCACAGTTCTTTGTGCTGGGCATTTGAAAAAGCTATATCTACCAGATCCTGGTCCCGAGTCCTTTGCATTCGATTTGGCAGGTGGAGGACCTTACACAAGTGTTGCTGACGGAAGAGTTCTCAAATATGAAGGACCGAAAGTTGGTTTTGTGGAGTATGGATACACAAAAGCAGATAGGCAAGAATTCTTTTTCCTTGAACATACATTTTTAGTTTAGTCACTAGGGATATACCATCTCTCAATTATTCTGTAGCAGTACATTTTACCATTGTATCTGCGAACGTAGCTTTCAAGTTTTAAGCTCTCATATGTCCAACAAGGGATACAGAAAGGTCAAAATTTTTGCAAAATCTGATAACTTGATTGACAAAATAGATTTATGTCAAAGTTAATTATTCAATTTGTGCATATATTATATAATTTGTAACCTTGATGTTTTCCTGTTTGGTTCAGGCCCCGGAAATTTTGTGATGGCACTAATAGGACGGATATCTCTCAAATCTGCGGTAGGCCAACTGGTTTGGGGTTTTACTACAAGACTGGTGAGCTCTATTTGGCAGATGGCGGTCTAGGCCTTGTCGTGATTGGAGCTAAAGGAGGTCCGGGAAGACGACTTGCCTCTGCTGCAGGAGGACTGCGATTTGGCTTCCCTGATGGCCTCGAAGTCGATCAAAGAACTGGCATTGTTTACTTCACCGATGCAAGCTCCCGCTACAATATCAGGTTGCCGAGATGATTAACAATTTTTTAGTAGTTATAATTTCTCTGATATCGCTATTATCAGAAGACTAGATTGAATGTTAATTCCTGAATGTGATGCATGTCATCGTTTGTTTGCAGCCAAATTGCAGAGATAGTTGCCAATAGAGATCAAACAGGAAGATTATTGAAATACGATCCAAGAACGAAAAAGGTCACAGTATTGCTCAGGGGACTTGCAGGGGCCGCTGGGGTGGCAATTAGTCAGGATGGCTCATATCTTCTGGTTACAGAATTTGTGAAAGCAAGAGTTTCCAAGTATTGGTTAAAGGGTCCCCTAGCACATACATCACATGTTATTGCAAACCTGTCAGGAGCGCCAGATAAGATCAAGAGGAACAGTGCTGGAGATTATTGGATTGCAGTAACAGTTCAAAGCCAGAAGCCGACACCAACATTACAACTTCAAGGACAAAAGATCAATGGAAATGGCAAGATACTGGAAACAATAACCTTTAGCCCTGGTTTTAATTCTTCATTGATCACAGAAGTGCAAGAATACAAGCGCAAGCTATATCTAGGTTCTATATATATTGGATATGTGGGGGTGTACCGGAAGCACTAATTAACGAGAAGGAATTGGATATGAATATGGATAATGTTCATCGCTATCGCATTTCAGTTGAAATGACTAGTCAATAAAACTGTTGTGATGTTTCGTTTTTCAATCATTCCTATGAAAGCCACAAGCGTAGAAAAAGTTGTAATAATTTGATTGTGTTCCTCTTTTTCCCCTTCTTTTTGTGTACACTTTCTTGAAAAGTACTGCAGACTTCATTGAAAGAAGGTAGGAAATATGCTCCAAAAAGAAACATCTTGTCCTTCATTTTGAGTTGCGTAATTCATTTGATCGACAATTTTTTTAATTTGCCACAGTTTAAATATTCTGAGAACAAACCAATTACCGGCGTGAGGTTTTTTTTTTTTGGTATGTATTTGTTTGGTCTCTTGAAAGCAAATCAGCAACAGTTAACAATAATTATCAAAGACTAACTCCTCTTTTTTTTTTTCCCTGAAATTAACCTGCATTATTGGTGCTATATTTTTATACGTGATGCTTCAATTGAAAGTCAGATCATGTGTAATGACGACCTTCAATTGTCTTTTTGACTGACCAATGTTTATAATAATTTACTTTGCTTGATCCGAAAATACAAAACTGATTTGATCAATTAAAAAAAGGTAAATTAAAGACGACTTGAATCATCGATACCCTGCATTACCTCGATATTGCTCAAAACAAGTAAATTAATGGTTTTTGGTTCTTGACTCGCAAATAGATTAGAATATTGTTATTGTATTCTTCCCTTCATGGGATTTCCCTCCCAACCTTTTCCATCATATGAGAAACAAAATCCAAAGAACTCATTTATAAATTGTGATCTTGCCTTAATGCTTTTTTACCACTCTCTCACAAAAGTTCGTACTCTATATCTTCTTTAATTACATTTGAGTTCATAACCTTAGATAGCCATCCATACCAATATTCAAATCCTTTTTTTCCTCTTGTCCTTTTGGTGGGAAGGGAGGGAGGTTCATATTAGTCACATATCATTCAGGTTAGATGAGGCAGGAAGTATGGTTTGCAGGCTCATATTACCTTTATGGTTGAAATCCACAAATTCTTGGATGTATCCTAGATTTTAGAGGATAAATGAACATGGATTGCTCCTAATGAGGGATAAGCTTTACTTACCTAGGAACACCTAGGAGCAATCAGACAAGCAGAGGAAAAATGAGGCCGGTTTGGTAGTTGAATCCTTTGCTTGAAAAGCTGAAATAAAATTGTACACTACAAAAGCTGATTTGGCTCAATAATTTGACTAGTTATAGAATTGAAATGGTTGGAAAAATGACTTGGTCCTTTGATATGATACAAGAAGAAATCATAGTTTATGACCATCAAAACCAAGAAGTCTCCTTCACGTGTAGGATCTCAATCGTGAGCTGCTAATGATTTTCTTCTTCACTTCTCGAAAAGGAAGACAATTGAAGCTTACGGAGATGCAGCAAATTTCTTGGAAGGAGGAAAACTAACCAAAAGTACGAGTCACCGACTTAAAAACCATCCGCATCACTTCAACTTAATTTCTAGTGAATCAAAACTGTCACGCTCGTGCCTACATACAAAAAGAGTATGAAAACATTGATTGATTGATTGATAATCCTTAATTAGTGTACTATTATTATTTTGGTTTAAATATTTCAAATTGTAGCTCACACTCGAAAGTTATTAGATCAGCTCTCTACTTTACTGTATTGCATTTGATGTTAGAATAAAAATAGTAGTGTATAATATTTCAAACTCTTTGTTAGCAAAATTATTATAGTAGAAATCGTTTATTACGTTTTTATCTTGTCAGAATAATATAATTGAGTGTGAATTCCTAGATTGCAATAAAAAATATCTTTGTCAAAGTCAATGGCCGAGATTAAAGGGATTGAACACGAAAAATGATTTCCAAATATTGTTGAGAAAGAGTCTTAACTTGCCCTTACACCCACGATATACTTTCAAATCAAATATTTAGTGTCCCAAATAATAAATTTATTAAAACTTTATCATTTTATTGTATTCATAGGTATTTATATTATGAAAATTGTGATATATAGACAAATGATATTCTATATATAACTAGGAGGATTTGTTGTTATCGTTATCCAAACTTTCAATCTTTTCAAAAATTGAAAATTAATTCAAAACTTATAATTTAACAAAGTTTTATCACATATTTTATAAGGTTAGTGAAAAGTAAAAATATTTTTATATTATTTTTAAAAGTATAAAATGCAGAAGATTTTTAAATTATATGACAATCATGTATTATACAGATATTTTATGAGTACTTACTAACTAGAATATGAAGTTTCAATCATTAGTAAAAAATCTTATCATTATTTCAAATAAACTTCATAATACTAGTTTGATACAAATTTTTTAAATAAAATAGTAAATTTGTACCGTAAATTTGTAAGTTTTGATCATCAATCAAATTTGCTATGTTATCAGTGAGATGTACCATTTATCTATAAAAACTTACTATTAGTTGAAGTAAACTTACTCTCTAAAAAGTAAGTTTGGGACATAAAGTGGGAGTTTGTTCTTTTAAAAAGTAAGTTTCATATTTATTTCAATTAACCTTTTGAGATATAAAAATGACTATTTTTCTAAGTTAATTTACTATTTTAGATGAGAGACGTATTATTAAATTTTTAGATATTATCGTATTTAGGTGGATGAATCTAATAAGTAATCAAATGGTTACTAAAAATATAATAGACAATGGCTTTCGAGACATTTGAACAAGTCAAGAATCCTAAGTCTCATCCACATCCACATGCACATCGATCGGGATCCATGCCACCGCGACCGTTTCCACTTGCACAGCCCACGCAGTGACCAGTCCGCTCCTGCTTCTTAATTTCAGAGAAAGGCATTAGAAACTTCAAGGGAGATAAGATACCTGCCCCAGTTATACAGTATACATTATTATTACGGCAATTGATATCAATAGAAGGGGAAAATTCTTTCCCCACTTTCACTACTTCCCTAGTCAATGAAAGAAGAATTTCTTAGCATCATCATGTTCAACGTCCCTGCTATTCATTTTTTGAACCACCATTGAGTAATTTCAAACATTTAAAACCTTAAACGTCAACCCAGCAATAGTTAAAAAAAAAAAAAAAGAAGTGTCCTAAACTAACACCCCAAAGTCTTCCTTTAAATTTTACATAAATCACCAAACATCCTGAGTGTTTCCGTTTTTATATTCAAAATTATAATCTATTTTAATGGCCAGAAATTTCTAGCTACCTGCTCGGGTGATACTGGCAGCACATGCAAAAATTAGTAGCCATTAATTGAATGGACAGCATAAGGGTTGAACATTTATCATGACTTGGGAAAACTTGCTATCAGCGAGTTTACTCCAATCTAGGCAAAGGTACGATTGGTCAACCCACAATTAGATCAGCCGACGAAGCTAAAACTCTTGCATACTTTAGATTCAAGTGAGGTCCAAAAAATGTTTATTGAATTGTAATATGGATTGATCTTTCTTATATTAATGGCGTATATACTTTCGGGTTGAGATGCTTGGCAAGTAATTTTAATATGAATTTAAATTTCAGATTTTTCACATGTAATACGCATCCATTAGCACTAGTATATACGTTGTCAGAATGGCAAAACTAATCTTTCTAATTAATACCTTATTTAAACTTTATGGAGAAAGCAAGTCAAGAGCAAATTAACTACGACATTATTTGCAAAAAAAAAAACTATGACATTATAGATTTACAATTATAAAATTTCAAATCAAAGATGCGATTCTACATAGAAACACATGGGTATGTTCTATTAACTAATATAACACGAAGGATGATGTGCTTTTGAGTCATTGATTGTACTTCATTAAAAATGATGATAAGAGTGCTCGATAATCAGTCCATCAATCAAGCGGGAATACCTTTTTCTGGTAAATTAATCTCTTGTGGCATCACTTGTATGAGTGATGGATAAAATAGTGGTCAGAGGGACTAAAAATCTATTTATAAAAGTCAAGTTAATTAAACCTTAATTATCAATATACATTTATATACTGACTTGTCTTCTAATTCTCATGTTGGAAGTATTAATTGTCTAAAATACTAACGTGGTCAGGAAGGCCACTTAAAAGTTTAAAGCAGAGGATTTCCCTTTGTACAAACTTCATTGATGATTCTTTAAATAAAATTTCAGGTTTGCTGAAAATGAATAAATATTTTGACATGTCTTTCTTACGTTTAGCTCTGGCAATCAAACTTTGGTTCATTTTGTAGCTGTAGCTTGTTGTCGTCCTAAAAAAATTTAAAAAGAGTGGCATCTTGTCTTGCAATACGTTAGCATCAATTTAAATCATTCCATGATGAACATAAATTCACCGATTACCTTTTTAATCTCTTTGTGTCATAACTTACAAGAGTTTGAGCTTGGATGTATTCGCAAGGGTTAACAATTTTTATGAACATCTTACTACCATGTATCAAGCTAGCTAATAGTCGACAGGGAGACTGAGAATCCAAAAAAAAAAAAAATTCTAATAAAACTAGAATTAATTTTACACAATAAAAGAATTATTTTACACAATTGTAATCATAAAATTATATTTACGAGCTTAAGTTCTCCTATTCAACTAATTTATCCTTCTTATCATTAGTCGGGCTCAAAAATTCAGTTTAAGTCAATTGTCGATTGTCAACTGTCACATTCATCCTTAGCAATAATCTTTGGTCGAAATTGGATTTGGAACTTGATTCATGAAATATCATATTATAAACATAGATCACATTACGAGGTCATACGAGCCCACATGACTATCCTAATAATTTAATCCCTGTATCATTTTAAAGCTCCCCGCCATGGCTCGAGTTCGTCCCTATAAATACCCTACTCAGTTACGTTATTTCCATGTAAAAGTTTATCGTCTAGACATGGCAACAATGGCAATATTGTTTCCTAATAAAAGGGTTGTTGGGTTTATTCTCAGTTTTTATGTGTTTGTTTTCTGTTTCCTCCCCGCAGTATTTTGTGCTGGACATCTCCAAAAGCTTCATCTACCTGATCCTGGTCCCGACTGCTTTGCATTCGATTCAGCAGGTCAAGGACCTTATACCGGCGTTGCTGATGGGAGAATTTTCAAATATAAAGGACCCAAAGTTGGTTTTGTGGAGTATGGATACTCAAAAGCAGATAGGTAACAACTAACAAGTCCTTCTGCTTGCACTTTCAGTCATAAATAATTATATCATGAATT